CAACAGTATAATTAGGATCCTGGCTTATTGGTATGCCAACCAGAGCATGCGGATAAAATGGGGGAATGCATTCTCGGCGCCATTTGGTGTTGGTAATGGAGTTCGCCAGGGGGGGCTCCTCTCACCATGCCTTTTTAATATCTATATGAATGATCTATCAGATGATTTAAGTGTCTGTAAAACAGGATGTGTGATTGGCAGTGGCGAGCCGTGAGCTTTATACCTAGGCCCTCTGACCCCCACCCCTTCCCTCGAAAAAAAGAAAAAAAAAGAGTTATTACGTCACAGCGTATACTTCAGCGGAATATCAAAACAACGGCCCAGGGTGCAAAACGCATCAATGACAGCGACCCTCTACCACACAAAACAACACCTGTGAACCCAATTTGTGTTCTTTGACATTGAAAATGATATTGCATTGTGTTTGTTACTTTCGTTGCAGTTGTATTTGTAATAATAATAATAATGTTTTCAAATATTTTTTTTTGGAATATCTTAGGCCCTCACAGAGGGCCTAGAGGGCCCTGACGGCTCGCCACTGGTGATTGGTAATGTGATAGTAAACCATCTTATGTATGCCGATCGATGATTTGGCTATTGTTTCTCCTAGCAGTGCTGGATTTCAACAGTTGCTAAATGTATGTTCTGATTATGGAGTCAAATTTGATGTTAAATACAATGCTAAGAAGAGCGCTGTAATGATCTGCAGAGCAAAAGGGGATAAGAACCTTGGTTTTCCAATATTCTATCTGTCAGGACAGGTGCTGTCTGTTTGCTGTAAAACAAAGTATCTGGGACACATCATTACAGATGAAATGGCTGATGATGATGACATGTATAGACAGCGGCGTGTCTTATACAAGCTAACATGTTGGCTAGAAAATTCACTTGGTGTTCAGATAAGGTTAAGGTGAACCTCTTTAGAGCTTATTGTACTCCTCTCTATACTGCCCCCTTGTGGGTCAAGTTTAAGAAGGCGAGCCTCCAGAAGCTCCAGGTTGCTTATAATGATTGTTTGCGTATACTGCTTAGAAAACCAAGGTGGTGCAGTGCAAGTGAAATGTTTTGTAATGCACGAGTCAACACGTTCCATGCTCTCTTGGCAAATCTGATGTACAAATTCATCTGTCGATTGAATGTTTCTCATAACCAGGGCCGTCCCTCCCTACAGGCCGATCATGCAGGCTGCATGGGGCCTCACATTGCGCAGGGGGCCTCGCGCAGGGGACCTCGGCTTATGAGCTCGGCTTGTGCGCAGCTCTCAGCGCAGTTCTCAGCGCAGTTCTCAGCGCAATTCTCCATGCACCCCCCCGCTGACACGCGAGAGTGAGAGGTGACAAGGGGAGCACGTCTGTAACCCGACACCGTTACAATGAATCGACATCTGACCAATCACGGCTTTGATACGGCCACTAGTGCAGGTGAAGAGATGTCGGCGAAAAGACAGTTTCAGTCCGGCGCAAGCAAGAGGAAAGAAATAAAAAAAACATGAAGAAACTAGAGCATCACTCGAAGGTGGGTTATTGTATGAGTCAAATGTACAACTTGCTAATGTTGTATAAGTCAAATGTCAAACTTTTACCAATTGCCATATTAAAACATCAGCTGCAATTCTTGACATGAAGAAGGCAGTCTCTGCATAGCATATAGGCTAATGGAGATGCAGTTATTTCCAGCATTCTTTATTTACCATTCATTAAAGTATGTTATGCCTTTTATCTGCTAATGTACAGGAGGAAGAGTGATACGCTTTCTGTCTAATTGGCTTACATAACAGTTAAAGTTTACAGCCTAAAAAACATGGAGCATTTTTTCCCCTTTTATTCATTTTTATGTCAATTTGCACATTTCATGGTGATGCTCAGCCTCTCCCCTTAACTCCTAACAGTCATCATCATGTCAACCACAACACAGAGAAATACTGATAGAAATGTGTGTGTAGTTGTTGATACATTGCTGACAGAGGGAACTACATTTGAATACAGATTTAAGAAATATTAGTTTTTGAGCATGTCATAAGCATGTTTTGTCTTGACTATATTACAACTATATTATAATAAAATATAGAATTTGTATTATTGAATTGATTATGATTATTATTAGTAGAAGTAGTTTATTTGCATTAATTATATTTTAATCTTTTTGAGGCTAGTATTTGGCAGGAAATGCAGACGTATTCACCTGTAAATGCATACTGAACGACATACATGCACATTTACCATTTGCCTCACTGTACAAAAAAGTAACTGTGTTGATAATAATAATAATAAACAGGAATTATATTTGCAAAGTACTTTGTTTCCCAAAACATTTTTTTCACTCCTGTCGGTGGGGCGGGGGCTCATCTCACAATGTCGCTTGGGGCCCCAAATTGGCCAGGGACGGCCCTGCTCATAACTCTGTCATTATGCTGCTTTCAAATCCGTGTCTCAGTGATGTACGATACCAGTCACCTCTGACTGTGGAAACATTGTTATAATAACTGCCTTTTTAAATTTATATTTGAGTGTTGTATGTCTTTTAATAATGGACCAAGAGTCTCTTCAATAAAAGCTGATGATGATTAAGCACGTGTTTCCTACTCACCGTGTCGCTGTGCCTCGCCCCTGCTTCTGTACACTAGTGGGTCCTTCCCGATGTCCTGGGATTACAGTTTATTAAACCTCCGCCGCCATTTATTGAGCTCTTTGTGTCATAGGTCCGTCAGTAATGGAGACACGTCATTACGCATTCAGCAGGATAGTGGGTCAACCTAACACAATTCATTTATCCTGATTGCAAAAGTATTTGTTACTAATTATTATGAAGACAGAAACCCCTTTAGAGGAAATAGTTCACTAAAAAGGGACGCAACTTCTGTGACCACTTGTATACAATAATTTAAGCGTAGGCCTACACTATGCGGAATCTACTTTAATGTATTAATACTCAAAGGAATGGTTCTGCTTTTACCACACATCCGTCTGTCACAGAATTGTTGGGTTCAAGAAAGAAAATGCACTGGAAATAATCCTAACGTTTTGTTGACCGGCAGCCTTCGACCTCATATGTTATCAGGCTATCAATGACATCAGATTTAGCAACAGCATGAGGCCTGCAGTTTAAAACAATTTCAAACTATGAGCTCAAAACTGTGTATGATTTTACAGCCATCTAGTGGCCATTTATAGTTATTACATATGGAGAGAGATAAGATAAGATAGGACTTTATTCATCCCGAAGGAAATTGTTGTGCCAGAGTTACAAAAATACAATAAACACAGCAGCACAATAATAATAAAACTGTATTTATATTGCACATATTAACACCTTATCCTGCATCCATTGTAAGTGATAGAATGAAACAAATGACATTTAGAGTACTCAAGAATTGTACAAACTTGAGGTAATTGTCGTTACTTAACTTGAGATTTTTCATGTTTCCAATTTGGTATCTCAAAGGCAAGGACAGGGGAGGTACAGGTAGGCAGAGTGGGTACATTAAGGGGTCCAGGAACAAAAACAAGTTGAAGCATACAGAGTTCCCTGCAAAGAGGCTAGAAAGACAAGTCATGATGCAACAATGCCAATCTGGCAAGAGCAAGGTGAAGAGGGGCTGGTATAAATACTGTTGGGGTAATTGGGGAAAGAGGTAGGAAGGATACAGGAGTCAGGTGACTGAGTCATGTGACTGAGACCATTGGTTCTGAGGGCATCTGGTGGGTGGATGGAAAATGGCAGGTATGCAGAGTTCAGAAAACACATTGGGTCCTGAGAAGTGGCTAAATATAGGGACAGAGATGTCGAATAGGGCAGAATAAACACCAATAAGGTAGACGTGACGGATCCTATAGAATATGATGCATTGCTGTTTAATCATTAAACTATAATCTAAAATGTTGTTCAAATCAGCTCAGAAAAGACTGAGTTCTATTATGAATTAAATATATTTGAAAACCATCTAATATCACTTCCTCACTAAACATCAACAAGCATATCTTTTATGCAAACTAGGAAAGTGTGTATACTTGTAGAGCACTTTGAATAATTTGTTTGTACAACAAAAGAGTCAATGAAATTGTCCGATGCATTATCACAATAGCATAAAGGAAGGAAGGTCAGTACATGACACAGCACATTAAGACAAAATATCACATCAAATCATATACAAATCTATGTGTTTTTATACAGTGAGTACTGAAAGGTGGTCCCTCTGTGGCGCTGTCAAACTAATAATGGAACATGTCGGATAAACATGTTGCCAAGTTATTTTTTATTTATTTTTCTGTACCGTAAGAATTCTCGGGAGAGTCCCAAATGTTGATGGTAGGTAATCTGTAAAAGGTAAATTCAGTGAAATTGAAATAAGAGATAAAGTGATTCATTTGGTCAAAGGTCACACTGTTGCCTCGACAACAACACTAACAATAATCCCTGATGCTGCCTCTCACTCTTATCTGTTTAATTTGACATAATAATAAAAGATTAGGCAAAAATAACAAGCAGCCCTTTATTTGGTATGACATTCAAATAAATATGCAGTAACCTTCAGTGAGCCTTGTGAGGAGATGTTTACTCTTCCCTGTTTGTCCATATGGCAGTTGTAGGTGTAATATGCTCCTACCTATATATCATTTCCCTCTTTTCATCAAACCCTGAAATACTGGACTTCTGCTAAATGACAAGAAGAAGATAGAAAGCACACACAGATACAGATACATCAAAATATATTGTATCAGTCTGACTCACGTGGTTCAGACTCACAATATGTAGCAAGCAATATTACTTATTATGTCAACAATCATGCAAAAATAAATTTAGAGTAATGTTTACCCCACCTTAGCCAAAATAGACACAATTTATGGCTGCCTGCAAGTGCGGTTGTTGAGGAAATAAAAAAATAAAAAAACGTTGGAATAAAAATTAGCCGTTGTCATTGAAGGGTTTATGCAATACTTACATTATCAGTATAATCATGTGTTTGCTTTTCAGATTAACAAAAAGTTAAACAAAAGGTGGATTGAAAAAGTTTAATCAGCACATAAACATGAAAAAGAAATGTTCTTACCATCATTTCCCCATAATGTTTGTAGTCAATACAGCATTGTCATTCTCTAGATGTATGTATCTGAATAAAGGAGCAGCCTTTCAGGATTGCTTCCTCTCTGGCACTGAAATAACTTTATTTTTTCCCTATTGTATGTATTTGAATAATAGTGCAAATGAACTGAACTAATGAGTTCAAAAGCAACAGATGCACAAGTATCAAATGTTAAAATGCAGATGATACAGATATTACAACAAAGATGTTTCATAAGTGTGTGAAAAAATAGCTTATTTTTCCTTTACTATTAGTAATGAGTCAATAAGACTATGAATTGACTGGAGAGATTGTGTTTTGTTTCTTTAAAGGATGGATATTAATAATAAGAATAATAAGAATAAGAATAATAAATAATTCTGTAAACATTATTGAACTTTTGTGCTGTGTATAAACCGTGTTACTTGTGCTTTAATGGGACTTGGAATAACACTGACTCAGATCACTGGAAACAACACTGTAGCATTCATAAGCAACACAACAGTCATATTTTTATGAATAGGAATAATACATTGGAGCATTTGTTATAAAGCACAGTGTCCACACATTGAGCAAGACATGTTAAAGCCACTGCAAATTGTAACTTTTTTTTGTATGAGACGCTTTTGAATCTGACTCTGCCTCTGCTCTGTCGTTTTTTTCTTACCAGCAAGAGCCTCACATTTTCATTTTACCACTGTCTTGCTGCCAATACAAAGTCTGAGAGGTGCACATTCCCTAAAGCAACTACTATCACAAGACAATAATTGAATATACATACCCTTTTTACTATTTTACATCTTTAAAAGCTAAAGTCATTGTGCTAGTCTCCTTCCTAAGTTGTTATGCTGTTGCAGTGTTTGTGAGATATTTGAACAGAAAATAAACAGCAACTAGATTTTTTGTTTTCTCCTATTCCCACGTGGAAATATCAGTTGAATAAAATTATCTAATTTCAAATGCAATTTTCCCTTCAGTCTCAAGCATATAATCCATGAAGTGGTCACATAGCTGAACTAAGAGTCCAGTTTGTGATTGGCCCTGAACTCCTGAAAATATATATTTAAACCCTTTTTGTGGGATCTAATGAAAACATGCTTCTACCCATGCTGTCCCTTGGGGTGCCCCAGTCTCTGCCAAAGTCTGAAAACACAGCACATTGCATACCAGAGCCGGGTCATATTGTTTCATTTTGAGATCCAACCCTTATTACTCCAAACAAACAAAAAAGTAGAAGAAGAATATGTCTGTGGTGAAGAATCACAATAAATAATATAACTTCAGTGGAAAAACATTACACAGTCCAGCAAAGTCCAGCTGATCAAGGCAGCATCTCCACTGCCTCAAAGACTTCTGATGAGAAGTTTAAGCTAACAAAAACATTGTTCTCCATCGCCTCAACACTGTCTTCTAAGCAGACACTGTCATGGTTGATAAGACTGCTTTCAGATGTGGGACTGATGACAATTATGCGAGGGACACCCTGAGGCGATCTAGGATCATTGGTTGGTATTTTTCCAAAATGAGAATCGAAGGAGTCGCTCTTGTGGTAATCCATGATGCAGCCTTTCTTCTCGCTTGAGTCTGAAATCTCATCAGATAAACTCTGACTGCGTTTCCTGGTGAGGACCAGTAGGGGGAGGGTGGCGATGGTGAGAGAACTGCAAACCAGATCATGGTCACAGTATGTTGCATTCATGGTAGATGGGTGCTGGCAATGAGAAAAAAATACAAGTTTCCTCAATGAGATAAAACACGTTTAAGATAAAGTTACTATTTTTTTGCTGTGTTTTCTCACCTTCTCTACTGCTTGGGTTTTGGCTGAATTTCGCCGTAACTGTTTCTTATGAGTCCTGTTTCTGGAAGGCTGTCTGTACGATGGCATGCTTCTGAGGGAAGCACCGGACTTCCTTCCCAACGGCTCCATCTCAACATCCCTTAATACCTGCAGGACAAAACAGAACTAATGTGAGCTGAATTGGACAACAATTTATTAAATCAAGATGAAATCAATTCAAATCAGCATGTGATTTAAAGGTTCCATGTCATGCTCCGGTTATTACCCGTCCCCTTGTGTGTTATGTAGCTTTTTCTGCATGTAAACGGTCTGCAAAGTCACAAACCCTCAAAGTACACCCTGTAGCGAGTAAAACTCTAACACAGAAAATACCTGTCTATGCTGCCCCAGAACGCCTCGTTGGAGATTTTTATTTTTTCATTTTTTTCTTCCTGAGTATAGTGACGTAACGATACCCGGGTCCAAATGGACCTATCCGATTTGATTTTGGAACATTGAACAATGTAAATCTATTCTAGTAGACCTCAACAATGGACTCTAGAAACACTATACATTTGAAAAGAAACTGAAGCAACATAATCATAAACAAGGTTTCTATGATTTTGCGGCCAAAATTATCTTAATCCCAGTGTTGTATCTTGAATTGAATTACATTTCAAGCATTGGCCTGCAAAGTGAACGATGCATGACAAAAGATTCTATCACGTAACAGTCCTGGTGGAAGAAAATATGAATATCAACTTTTTATTTAACTTTCAGGTGTGCATTCATAAAGTAGGAACATGATACAAATTATAACATTCAATTTGACAATTTTGACCAAATTGAATAAAAAGGCATATCGGAATGAATTAAAAAAAATACCTAAATCTTTAATGTATCAATTTAAAGCCTTAAGATTACATGTATGTTTCTTCACAGATTAGTGTTAAAAGACTGTAAAAGTCACCAAGAATAAAGGAGACTTAACACAACTGAATTGTAATAGTTCCTTCTGATCAGTGATAGCCCATACAAGCCATGTTATGTAACAACAAAATGTTGGTTAAAAAAGGATTACCATGTCATGGGAAGCTGTGAAGAAGTGAGTCCTTGAGGCTGTGGACTGTCTGCTAATGATGGAGTCCCTGAGAGAGGACTCGCTGATAGAGGAGGACATGCATTCCTTTCGAGGAGTGGGGGACAGAAACCTCAGACAGGGAATCTTTTCTGCCAGAGTCATCCTTTTAAAGTACAGAGCAACAGAAAAAGCTTTAAGTTTAATGTGATGAACTATGAGTCCCAATTTATGACATCATACATGTTCAGAGACAGTTTAGGTTAAAAAAGTATATATTTACCTGTATTTGTTGTGTATAATAGCATAGATGAATGGATTGTAGATGGTGGAGGCTTTTGCTATGATTGCAGGGACGGCCTTGGAGTATGGCGACAGGATTTTCGCATGACTGAAAGAGACAGAACAACAGTAGTTTGAATTTTTTTTATCTTGTAGCCTAGTTCTTTGTTTTTTCTAGCGTGACAACAGCAGCAAAACTTAATTTTTGTATTTGTTGTAACTTAATGAAGAGTTGTACTGGGTCAGGGATTAGCCTAAATGTGCCAGCTGCCACAGAGGGGGTGTGTAGTCTATCTCATTCTGTGTGTGTGTGTGTGTGTGTGTGTGTGTGTGTGTGTGTGTGTGTGTGTGTGTGTGTGTGTGTGTGTGTGTGTGTGTGTGTGTGTGTGTGTGTGTGTGTGTGTGTGTGTGTGTGTGTGTGTGTGTGTGTGTGTGTGCGTGAGCACGTGCGTGCGTGTTTGTGTGTAACGCCACCTTTCCCCAGTGAGCAAAATGTGAATTAAATAAATACTAGTATTCGATTTCTAAGTCACATAACTACTGTACACCTCATCCTACTGTGTGTCCCAGGAGGGACATGGGGTTTAGTGAATTATGTGATAAGCTGAGAACGTATGAGCAGCTTCGCCTTCTGTTGTATGTCACTGATCCAGGGCACAACATTATATAATGATACATCAACGCCATTTTGGGGAGATTTATATCCAAATGGCCAACACACTATCTACACTCCTAAGTGTAGCATGACTGCCATGTCTGCTGAATGTTTTTTTATTTTTCAAAATGGTTAGAATAAAAATATGTGTCCACATGCATTTTTAAAAGCGAAGGCAGATGGAAATATGATTAGATACAAAATATCTACTTATATGAATGTTACAGTTAAGTATGCAACTTTTACATGAAAGAAATTGAAAATAAATGTCTGCATTGAATCTATGATCAAAGAGACCGATGCTCAATGTACAAGTGTCTTTAAATATATATATTTAGGCACATTTTGACCCTAGTGGAAATTTGGAAATCCATTTAAACTTCCGATGATGTCCTGGAAAGAAACTTGAAGCTACATCATGTAGGCTGTATATCCAACTACATGTGCTGCCTTTGTAACTCCACAGCAGATTTTCCTTTCAAAAATATTATCCCAAAATGTACAAGCACACTCAAACCATTGCAGCACAAAACTAATCATGTATGAAAGAAGTCTTACCCTGCCCAGGAAATCATTGTGACACAGGCGTACGGTGACCAGGAGAGGACATAAACCACAATGACGACAAAGGCGATCTTTGCCAGCTTCCACTCGCTCCTGATGGACCTCTGCTTGATCAGGGTGGACTTCCTCACCTGGGTCCCCAGACGCTCTACCTCCCTGTGGGTGGTAGTACAGTTAGAGAAAGTGAGACCAGAAAACAAAATTCAGGTAATGTATGTCCTGCTGAACAATTAGGATATGATCTTTAACAAGACCAATCTCAGCCCAAAAAGAAGTTATTAAAGCTGAAAGACAAACCAAAAGAAGCATTCATATTTATAAGAATTCACTTCTGGTGAAAGTAGTTGGGGGTTTATAAAGATATATATATTATGCGTACTCATATGTGTGCACATTAATTATACACCTTAACCTTACATCTTTTGTTTTACACAGATAATCTGCCTTTCCTGTGTTGTATAGCCCATCATTATGTATCACCTATCAAGCTAACTACTACAGTATTTACCACATACAAATTCACCTAACGTGCCATTTTTTAAACACACATTCCTTTTCACATATGGTACTGATAAAAACAGTTGAAATTATTTAAGTGTGGTATTTAGTCATTTTGGAGTGTTATCACAATAATTTATATTGCATGTATCTCCACCTACATAAACTCAAAAAACACAACATACACACTCCTGCTGATATAAGAGTTACAGTACCTGCCAGTCTGCCGTACAGCCAGAAACATGAAGATATAACAGTACAGGATAATCCCCAGTGGAATAAAGAAAACAAAACAGCACAACATCATCGTGTAGCTCCTATTGGCCATTGTGTATGTAACATAATCCCATGTGCAAGATGTCATCAGGCCCTCAGGGATATAGGAGCCTAAAAGGGATAAAGAACATCGTCACATAAAACATCAGCAGCTCTGTGTTTTCTTTCACATAAGACTTGTACTTGTTTTGATGTCTGTGAAAGTGTAGATTGAGATCACAGCAAGCCCTATGTCAGTTTTTCCTCAGTGCAGGTCATTTGCCGGTTTCTCTCAGATTATCACAGAGCAAGTAGAAGAACTTGATAGAAATAGACATCAAGGTAGCTCAACTTACTCCATCCAACAAGAGGAGCCAGACTCCAAGCCAAAGAGTAAAGCCAGACCATGAGGATGGCCACCGTGGTTCTTCGTTTGGAACTGAGGTTAATGGCCTGCAGAGGCTTAGTGATCACCAGGTAGCGGTCAATTGAGATGGCCAGTAGGTTTATCATGGAAGAAATGCCAAACAGGGCTCCACAGAAGGCATACATCTTACAGCCTGCAGAGAAGAAACACATACAGACATGTGAATTACTATAACAACAACAAGTGCACAGTAGTCTGAAGATGTTAGAAAAGAAAAGAAAAAGAGCATTACCCATCTCTCCAAACACCCATTCCTTGTAGAGACAGTTGATGAAGAAGAACGGGGACTGTGTGAAAGCCATGAGGAAGTCACTGATGGCCTGGTTCATGATAAAGTAGTTCGGCAGATTACGAAGCTTCTTGTTACTACACACACAAACACACACACAAACGTGATATGTATAAATTACTGTCAAAACAAGACTTTAAAAACACAACTGTTAGTATCATAAATATGTTCCATGTTATTTTACAAGCTGGGCTTTAGCCTTCACTCAGACTTACATTTTAAATCCCACATCAAGAAGGAACAGCTGTTCATATCCAAACAATATGTTCCTGTGTTATCGAATTTGTATTGTATTACAAGTAGGTTGGACCACTGTGATGCTCTTTTCACAGGTTTTCTAAAACAATTAATTTATAACTCTTCAATTAATTTAGAACAAATGTTTTTTTAGGATTGGTTTCAAAGCTATTTTACTTGTTTACTTGGCTATTAATGACTTACTGGTTTAGGACTGGACTACAATTATAACTCTTTGTCATTTTATAATCACACACAAAAATATTTTTTTGCAAGAAAACAATTTCATTTCCATCCGGACATTTGAAAAAGAAAATAGAAAAAATATTTATACAGCATTGCCTTTAACACAATTTCACTACCTTTGTTTATTCTTACTTTTAACATATTCTATTGTTCTTATATATTATTATAACCAATTATCTTTGCTGATCTGGTCAACTCTGTGAGAACCTGCATTAGACAGCAGTTTGATTAGGCAGTGTATTGACCTGCTGTATACCTCCACTGACGTTTTATTGATTCAACTCGGTTTCTGGGTCCACTGACTCAAAAGTGGCTTCTCTCTCATCAAACAGCAAACAATCGGGTTTTGTATGCAAGGTCACCCTGTGAATATGTGACATCTTTGGGTCTGTTTTTGAACATTTGTATGTGTATCACACTAAGTGTTCTACGGGTTTGCGCATGCATATGCATATTTCTAGAGAATATACTTCCTAGAAAATCACCATATCGAGTGACATAACACTTGAAAGACAATTATCTCCCTCTGTGGTTGTGTGTGTTTGTGACTGTGTGTGTGTGTGTGTGTGTGTGTGTGTGTGTGTGTGTGTGTGTGTGTGTGTGTGTGTGTGTGTGTGTGTGTGTGTGTGCGTGCGTGCGTGCGTGCGTGCGTGCGTGCGTGTGTGTGTGTGTGTGTGTGTTTGTGTGTTAATGGATTTTTCTTGGAACCAATAATAACATCATGTGCATTTTTGATTCAGTAAACACAAATTATCAGCACAACACAATGGAGAAATCTATGGTAATGGACAGCTGCACTATAAAAGATTCTGACAATCCCGAGAACACACACACTGACTACATGCACACACTGACCACATGCACACACACACACACACACACACACACACACACACACACACACACACACACACACACACACACACACACACACACACACACACGCACGCACACACACAAGCATGTGATCTGTGTCTTATCAAAAATGTTTACAATTTAAGAGTCACATATCAGAATGAGCTTGTGACTCTAAATGGACTTGCAGACGATGCACAATGATTCTTTTTAACATTTGGGTAAAAACACAGTAAAGCACCTTTTGATATTATATCACATGCGCCTGTATATTTGCACCAAAAAGGCTGGGGAAGTTTTAAAACATTCAATGGAAACAAATATGTTTTCTATACAATACATTTGACATTGTTTATGAGGATACAAGACAGATTTACTCCAGTGATCCTCATTCTACGTCTTTGCCATGCATTGGCCAGGACGGAGATACATGGATTATTTGAGTGGTAATCACCAGATCTTTTTGAAACCCCTTTGATCCCCTGGAAAGTAAAATATATGACAAATACTGACCCTCCCCCTGCAGTGAATTAAAGAGAGCAAAAACTTCTCAACTTTGATTGAGAGGCTTTTGGCTCCTTATTCGTAAATATACATGTGTTTCAAACAGCGACCACACACAACCAACAACACCCCCCAGCCTACAGATCCATGCACTCTGTGATTCTGTCTCTCTCTCCATGTATGACTCTCCATCCGTAAACCTCCATAAACCCACTCAGGGCTCTGAATCAAATAGAGACCCACGTTGAACATTGGTAAAGGCTCCACTGAAAAGAGCAGGCACACACAATGACTTAAAGTGAAAATCTGAAGAAAAAACACTCAAACCAACCTGTAAAAGGCAAACATAACCAGGGCGTTGCCAGTGACGCCCAATATCCCGATGACAAAGACAAATATAGCGACGATGTAGTGAGCATGGTCAGGCACATCCACCTTGTTTATGAAGCTGCTCTGGGTGTGAGCTTTCTCTGGCTCCATGCTCTCAGTGGACCACATGGTTCACACACCTCATCAGGAGCGATAACCTGGCAGGATGCAGTGGGTTAACCGGAGTGTAAACTTTGCTTTGCCTGTGTCTGGTCTCCATAGTAGTTTCATTTGCAAAAGACGTACAGCATCTTCTTTAGATCCTACTAAGAACTAAGTTGAGAGGAGATTCACTTCACTGAGTAATCCCTTGTTCTTCCAAACCATCCATTCAGTACCAAATATGAAGCAGCAGGTGATTGCTGCCTTTTGAAGATGTGAAATGTCCATATGTATCCTCCTGGAGTAAAAGCTGAAGGGATGAAAGGGGTTATTTGTGCAAAAAAGTGTTTACATTACTCAGAAATAATCTGTAAAAAAAATGTAGAATATGGAAAAACAATCCTCTTCTTTGTGAATCTAGACGACGTCCAAAGCCGTGCAGGCATTAGTTATCTCCAGATGTACCACAGGTAAAAGCAACATCCTTTCCATCCAGATGATCCCCTCCGGTGTGCAGTTCAACAACTTGTCTTCTCCCTGATGCTTCCTGTTTGATACTTAAGTTATTGAGTTGATTTCCATCCAGTATATTAAATCCCGCAGCCATTGCACAATGTCACTGTCCGTACACTCAATGCTAGCCTGCAGCCTCTTCACCCGTCACACCAGCTGTGCACCAAGCTCTAAATCACTGGCCTGTCTCTGATTGTCTTACCAACTGGAGACTCTCAACCTCTCTCTCCCCCCCCTTCTCTCTCTCTCTCCCTCTATTGGTCTCTCTTTCAATATGCCATTTTGCTCTGTGTTGCTCTCTCAGCCATGCCTTCTTGTCATTCTCTCTCTCTCTCTCTCTCTCTCTCTCCCTCTCTCTCTCTCTCATCCTTACCCACCCTCCATGTAATATGGCCCAGCCCTGAGCTCTAACCCTTTAACTATGAGATCCTTACATAACAGTCATAATGCTCACTAACACCAGTATTAACTGCCATTTTAGATCAAACTGACATGATGAAGCATGTATGTCACCTCTCATTTCTAAATGATTCCTGCTAATCTGCAATTCACTGCAACACTGGTTCTCTCACCCATGCATGCTCTGCTGAAACATCATTGTGCTATACTGTACAGTTACCATCATACACATTTAACAACCATCAGTCTAAGTAACAAGGCACACATCATGGTTCAGAACACACACACACAAGTACACACACACACACACACAAGTACACACACACAAGTACACAGACACACACACACACACACACACACACACACACACACACACACACACACACATGCACACACACACACACACACACGCCACACACACACACACACACACACACACACACACACACACACACACACACACACACACACACTGGCAAGCATGCACACACGCACGTACACAGACACTCACACACACTCACACATCCACACACACACACATACACACACACACACACACACACACACACACACACACACACACTGGCAAGCATGCACACACGCACATACACAGACACTCACACACACAAACACATCCACACACACACACCACACACACACACACACACACACACACACACACACACACACACACACACACACACACACTATCCTTTACTTCACACTTATCAAACATTTCTACCTCCCCTTTAGCTGTAGGAAAAGGTTATTCATGTGCAAAAGGGCAGCTTTAAGAAAGCTTAAAATAGCACAGAAAAAATGTACCCCATAGCCAAAATACTGTGGTGCAAATATTTTAAAAGAGCACTCAAATCAATTATAATGGCTCCATAGAAATCTGTCATAAATTTGTAATATCAGCATTAGGCACTGTCCCAAAATAAATGATATGCATCACCATGGATGAAATATAATGAACACATTAGCAACTGGCATCTTTGAAGCCATTCAATTATAGTAAATAATATGAATTGGCACTTTTAGTTGAACAATGCACACAGGGAATCTGAGCGTGTGCATACTGTCTATGAGCTAATGAAATCCAGATCGATTTAAAAGAGCAAATAAGAGGATTATAGGTCCCTGTTCTAAATGATATTCTTGCGACTGCTGACTGGACATGGAAAGGAAGCATGCTTCATCTGCTGGTCATTGCTTTTTATGGTGCTGGACATGGTGTAAAGGAGATGAAGGGAATAGAGGGAGGTGAAGAATGCAGAGCTTAGACAGAGATGGCAACTAAGCCCCTACAGCAAGGGATAGCCTTAATCTGCAAACTGTGCATGCATGTGGATCACTGTTTGATCTGCCTGTAATAATAATTTACATGATACTCCACATGTGCATGTGTGTTTGTATGTGTCTGATGTGTGTGAGTGAGTATGTGTGCTTGCATTCATGCATGTCTTTTTACATATTATACGCATGCATGTGTACTTGTGTATAGTATGTATTTGTGTACAATATCACACAGAGCACACACACAGATGTTTCATGGGATTACTGTTGCCGGGTTCAGCTGGGTGACCTAATCACAGTTGTTATGTTTGCAGTATGTCAGCACAGCAGGGAAACATACAACAGGACATCTAGTGCTACATTAACCTCAGGATTTGTTTTGTACAGTAAATCCTTATTTATGACCCTAGCCATCTCAAAAATGTAAAATACATTTATTTTGTAAACTAATAAAGTTGCAAATAAAAAAAGTTATAATAAAAGAACAGTATATTGCAAACTTCCAAAAGATTTTAAACATGGATTTTTTATGAGATCTTTTGATTACACAAACAAGGTCAAATGTGATGTTGATTTGCCTTACACTGACTGTGGCTGCAAGGCCACTCTTCATGTTAATGCAGTGTGTGCAACACGCGTGAGTTACAGAGGGATTTGAAAAAGGGGCAAGTCCTCCTCCTCATCCAACTCTGTCTGCACGAGATGACGGCGCGAGTCACATTTGACTTGAAAAGCAAATTGGACAAATTAGAAATTAGGTTGCTTTAAAGAGAACATATTTACAGGAGATGTCATTGATGTGCACATTTCTTAATTAAAAATAGCGTTCAACACGCGTTCAACATTCAACATTCAACATGCTTTGACATAAAATGACACAATTTAAAGGTCAATAGCATCTGATCATATTTTGTTTGTTTGTGGAAATAGTAGGCCTGTTGAAAAGGACATAACAAACTGTTGACAACTGTTGTACTTGTTATACTTTTTCAGAATGGAAAGCAACATTTGAAAAGTATTGTAAATATCCTTTGAGATGTATTGCCTGCTTTCCAATTGGAAAGCTCAGATTTTTGTCTTTTCCATGTTTTTATTGACTGGGGTAAAGGTTTTCTGATGTGTTTTCCTTTACTCAGATATTCAACTGTACTTTGTCCAGTTATACTGCATGCCCACGTCTCTCATCTCAGATCTCCAACTATCATCCTCTCTGTTTCACTCCACACCATCTGGATGAATGACCTTGTCTCTATGGAAAAACACATCAGTGGTGTGGGATTCATAAATTTGACCTGGACAAAGGAGGTCGGTGTTCCACATGTCCATGAGTCAATGACTATTGAACCAGCTGGTTGTGTTGGTGCTTAAATCCTGGGTTTGAATTCCCTGTTCTAGCTGGCATTTGGCCTGCAGTGGAAAATATATTATTGAGTGGTACTGGCGCTGTGACTAGAACTGCAACCTCGGGCACATAAGTCAGCTGGAGATCAATACTTCACTACATAGAGGCATATCAGTTATATATATTTACAAAGCACCAGCATGATTATCAGGTGTTGATGTATTAAGTCAGTGCAGTAGATTTATACTTTTATAAAGTTCTCTGCAGAGGCGACAACTTCCGATAACATGTTACTTGGCCCATCCCCTGACATGGACATGTAGACAGAGTGACGAAATGCTCTGTTTCAAGTAAAAGCCCTGCATATAAAATTGTATCTAAGTAGAGAACAAAAGTATTAGCATCACAATGTAGAAAGAAAGTACAAATGTTTCAAAACGGTAAAAAACTGTATTATATAATTGAATTAGAAATAGTGATGCATTAATGTGTTGAATGTTGGACTTGGCATTTATACAGCGCCTTCAAAGTCTTCCAAGCCCTCCAAGCGCTTTAAAAAATGCCAACATTAAACCATTCGCACACACAGTCATACACTGATACATATAGTCATTCACATACACACACACAAACACACATGCACAAACAAACACACACACACACACACACACACACACACACACACACACACACACACACACACACACACACACACACACACACACACACACACACCACACACACACACACACACACACACACAACCCTCTCGGAGCCACAGTCGCTGGCAGAGGTGGAGCTTAATTGATTTACATATGGCACTGTAAGCTAAATTCTACGTGAGAACTTATTTGTTGGTTTTTGTAATATCAATCTGATTTGTCAAAGTCTCTTAAATCGACAGAAAAATGTAGTGAGGTTAAAAGTTTCAATATTTCTGATATTGGAGTGGAGTAGAAATATAAAGCTAAATGATTTCTGCTGATGATCATTCTTCTGATCTGACTTATTTAGGAGCGGTTAAACCTTTTGCAATTCAACTTTATCATGCATGTATTTCTGTCATGTTACTGCTCAAAATAATTGTACGAATCTTTCGAAAGATGTATAAATCTTGGATAGAATTGATCAAATGGAAATATCCTCAACATTCACATGTGTGTTTTTTGCTGTTTATTTGAATTGTGGGCGATATATATATAACATTTGAATCCTTCGCCTGTTTAAGTAAAGTAGACTTTGCACCTGCTCCTCTGGTTATGGCACAGCTGTCAGGAGGTGCTGCATTATGTGGAGCTGAGAAATGTGAGTCAAGCAGGACATGATGAATATTGAGCTTTAAATCTCACATTCAATGTATGCCTTAAGCCTCTTTAGTATCTGCCTAGGTTTTTGTTCATCAACATACAGGGAATCTAGGTTATAGATCAAACGATGTGGAAAAAGCAGTTCATAACACGCTCTTCGATAAGTGGAATGAATTTCTGTCAATAACAACCAACCTCTCTCTATCAATCCATTTCTTTCTCTCTCTGAAATTAAAGGGATAACATTAATTTGATGAGTTTTTCTTTTAATATGTGAAGTGATGGATATTTTTTTATCATCAGAGATACAATACAGAGAAAAGTCTGGTGGAAAAAATTAAGGTTGATAACCCATTTACTAAACTTAACATACAATGCAAGTCCTTAATCATGCAGGGGTTCACCGTGTAAATCATGCACATATGGGAGTAAGAGTGTGACGTGCTTGTTGTTAAACAATATCATTGTTCTGTAGTAGAGTATATATTTCAAAAAAGCCAGAGGGATGACGCACCAGAATGACTGACCTTTTCTTATGTAATCATACATTTCTTTATAAAAACTTGAATGCATTTTGTTGAAAGCGTTGAAATGTTTTAAATGTCAGTTAATGTCTCTAAAGGTGCCCCATTTCCTCTCTTTGCAGAAGTCCACGTGTTTTATTATGTATTAAATAGGACTGAACACACACCATAAAAGGTGTGGACATGACTGCATGACACAAAATAAACATCTATAAATTATGTCTATGGCGAGGAAAATGCATTCGTTTTCACGCTTGTGGCTTGAGTTAATGATATAATGTCTGCAAAAGTGTGTATTTTTAAAGGGAGATAGTCAAAAACAATGTTGTGATTAATACAAAGCATTATACAGAGCCCAATAGATTGCAGGAAAACATTTTCTTTTCCCATGATGTTCACGCCAGCACCAGTATCATCAGGAAACATATCCCGAGGAGAAGCACAGGTTTTTCTTTAGCCATTCCTGCATTTGCTTCTGTAGCCAATCCCAGACTCGCTGGTTTCCCTGAGAAGCAGAAGATAAGGGCAAATCATCACTACAGTTTTTCTCTTTGAATTTATTTCTGATGTTTCCGCCTGCTCTACCTACCTCTTTTCAGAGCGGCGGACCTCACATTTACCCAGAAGACTGCGCGCTGCTGAGCTACTGTGGCCCTGAAGAAACACAGAGTATGAGAGCAGAAGTGTTTTGGTTTTTTGATTGAAAAATCTGAGGAAAAATGTGTTTGTTTTACATGAAGTAGACAGGGCTCGTAGAGTCAGGAGGTATCCAGCTGTATGAAGTGGATTCGCCCTTCAGGTTGGTGTTCGCATGAGTAATAGCACCTTGTGGATTCCCTGTGCACTGTTAATATGAAACACAAAATCACATCATGAAATCTCTCAGACATAAGAATGTAAAACAATATATTTTCTACAAGACTGGATTTAGCAAAGAAATCTCTCCTATTTCCTCTGTGTCGGATGGTTTGAGAGTTTAGCTACTTGAAACTCGCCTGAAGAAACTTTGTGTCCGGAGCAGGGAGCTGCCAGCTCCCCAGAGCATTAGTGCTGCCGTCTGTCCGAGCTTCCAGAAGCACACCACGATACTCTGGTCCACTGATAGTCACTGCAGGAGTACACAGATACAGCTGAGCCGGTATATAGAGTAATATTTATATTTACTCGTCATTTTCACTTGCTTTATAAAAGTATGGCTTTTAAAATAACAGATGAACAGGATATATTCCTCATTTATTGATGTATTAAAACATGCAGTAAACCAAAATTACTTGCAAACCAGCAGAGGAGTAAGAAGTTCACAATGCTGCACGATATGAGAGGAAAATGCCATATGCTTTAGGTTGTTTAATACTGAAATAATGTAATTTCTGACAATAAGTTCAAAGATATTAAAGTGTTCTCAGTCTCCCTTTTCCCTTGCTTCTTTCGGTATACTGGTAAACTACAACAAATAGCTTGTTTGAAAATAATCAAAGGAAATTACTTCCAACAAGAATGATAGTTTCTAATAATACTCAACACAATTAAGTAGGTGGGTATGAGTAAAATAACCTTGTCCAAGTTTGTTTGTGACTTCCATCAAATACCAATATAATGTTTAGCCCTGACATAACAGATGCATACACATAAAAAGTCCCTTTGTCCAAACATTTTTCTCACTACAGCTTTATAATGGCTCAAACAATAGTATCCCTTGGTTGTTCTGTAAGAATTTGAATCACCGCGTAAACACAGATTTGAGTTCTTGAATGAAGTGTGTTCCTTGTCCCAGATTAACACAAACAAAGCTTTTGTAACAAAGCTCCAATAAAAGTTTTTCTTACTATCCACACTTGAAAAAGAAATCCCTTATCATCTGTAAAAAAACAGCAATTTCTTTATAAATGTTCTCCTCCATGATTTACAACTTTCTGTCTGGTTTATTAATAGTTTGTAATGTATATGTGATGTTTTTCTTCTTATTTCTAAGAGTGATCATAGATATCTTACCAGTAATGGCCTTGCCCGGCTGAAAGGTCCCAGTGTTGACCAGCAGAGTGTAGGGCGCTGGGGACGGCTGCGGCAGAACACCAGTGTGGCGAGGCGTCATGTCTTCACAGGCGCCAGTAGGAGCCCCATTGGGATATCCAGTAGCCAAACAGAGCATCTGAAGCATAACTAACCCAGGCAATGACAGCTCCATCAGGCTGAATGAAAAGCAACCACACTTTGAGGATGACTTGCACGATGTGAGCCAAGAGATGGACTAATATGAAGTACTGATGCTGAGTCACACAAGCAGAACATTCTAATTTTCTTCAGCAATTCCTTTTCCAACCATGTAATGTGCTTCTTACGTGAATGCTCTCGTGATTTATTGAAACAAAGCTTGATTATTCTCCAGAGAAAACTAAATGGTTTAATTTTTTTTTTCTCATAATCAAAGGAAGGTTAGAAAACATTTTTTAAGAAAAGCACATGACGCATATACTCTTTAACACCACAGTCTTACATTTAAAGGTTTTTCATGAAATCTAAAGTCCTTGGCAATTATACCATCGTCCAAGTCACTCAAAGTGTTATGAATGCATATTTATTCCAGGGATTATTCATGACATGCGTGTTACGTCGTTGTGTCACTAGAGAATACGTTGACCTACTGTCAGGAGAAACACAAAGACCTTCTATTTTACCTTCTAGTGAAAACACTTTAGAAGAAAACCACTTGAATTTGTCTGATTGATCCATTTGCACTATGACCGTGGATTTAAAACACTCTTACTGAATTATATTATCACTGTAGGGAGACCACACGTGTCGTGAAAGGGATTACTTCATGTGTAAGCCCTGCCTTGACAAAACTGGATGGTGAGCATTTGAGCGGGTTTGCACTCAGGCAGTGATGCACATTATTCCCCACACAAGATGGGGGACTGTTTTCCACAATAGCAAAACAAGTGTTTCTACACTGTATGAGTAAAGCTGAAGTGTTAAGCATAAATAACATGGACTAGAAGGGTCATTTGTTCCTTTCAACCTGTTCCTCATTGTCTTCACTGTCAGCCAACATAGAAACCGGCTGGATGCAATACTAACTGAAGACCCTGTAAAGCAATCTTTATCATTAAAGTGCGATGGACTGGTTTTTCTTGGTCAAAACATATATTTTTTAAGTTCACATATGCCTTATATTTATTCTGCAGTTTCTATTTTATGTAAACATATACCAAGTCTCTAAATCAGTACAAAAAATCCCTTTACAATTCCTTTTCTTTGAGCTTAAAGGATTAGTTTTTCATTTGTGAGAGAACTTTTGAGTGTCATTAACTTTGTAATCTTCCGTTTCTCAAAAAGGATTTGGTGAATAATTAAACAAAAATAAAGACATGAAAAACGACTGAATCTCTCTTCACTTTTGATTAATATCACAGAGCAGACATGAGAGAAAGTCCGTCTCTCAGTCCAACATTTCACACGTTCTGTCTGCAGAATATATGCATGATTTATTTTACATAAAAAGGATCAACCGGTGTGAACCTGACACTAAGAGGAAGAAGCGGACTGCTCAGAGAACGCCACCGTGACATGTTCTCAATGGCTTTCACCTGTTTAAATGTATATTTCCCCAAGAGGATGGACTGTACCCTTTCAACATTTATCAGGGGAAATGTGATTTTAAAATATAATCTTTTGAGGAGCATTATGACATGATACTCTGGTCAGATAAGGTTTTGTTCCAGCTGAATTGTGAATCATTAATGGGTCACATGCTTACTGATTAAATCCCCAATGCTCTGCACAGTCATGGCACAATGTGTTCTGTTTTCAACATCAATCCATATCCTGTAGTAAAGTCCTTATGGGCAATGTGAGGATCATTCTGAAGAAGTGTTGCCTTGATTTGTTTGTAATTTAGAAAAAATGTCTTGAAAATGAATATCCAGCAAGAAAATAAGTAGGTAACCGATTAATTATAGATTACATTTAGGGAATATTTATAATCTGTTTTGTGCATATATTTCCTTCTTTGCCTCCTCCATTTGTGCATTTTCTCAGATTCTACAATATAAATCAGAATAAGTGGAGACCAATAAACTAACTCAAATCCCTATTTGGCCAGACTGAAAACTGTCTTCCCCTCTTCCCATAAATAACGTTTGTGCTGGTGAACATGGGGAAATAGAGATCCAACAGAACATAACCTTGTTTGGTAACACAGTTATTTAAGGCAAATGTGAGAAAAGACTGAATTGTGCACATAGACAAAGGTCAAAAGACTTTTCCTCTTATTTCCATCCTCTCTTCCAGGCTCTCAGACTGGGCGAAACAACTCAGTGCATTGAATATTCCATTTATGTACCAATTGATGTGTTTACATTTCCTGTTCCAGACTGATTCTCACATTATCACATCTTTGTTCATCAACTTTTTCATGCACACAAAAAAGCAAAGTATCTCAAATTGGTGTCCTTGAGCAAGGCACAGGACCCTCACACTGCTGCCAAAGTGTTGTGTAAATAATAGTTGTCCACTGCTTGTGATATTATGTTAGGTTAAATGCAGATGCTACATTTAAGTTGACTGTGTGTGCAGTGCTGCAATGATTAAACGTAGATTTATTTAAACCCTCCATTTCCATTTCAATCACGATTTTTGAAGCCTGTTTTTTTTTAATCTATATCTATATATTGATGAGGCTCTTAAAGTGCTTTCTGAGTTAGTTTGTTTTTACAGCTGTTTCGCCTAAAATAGTTTGGGTGTTCAGAATCGGAAAGGGTTTTATTTAAAGGGTTGGTTTTGATTGCTGACAACCTGGAGGTACTATAAAGCATAAACTGAACATAACCTCTACAAACGAATAGACTGTAAGGGGAACAATGTCTTTTTTCTTGGTAAGTCAACCCATGAAATATCCTATAAGCTGCAAGTGGAGCAGGATGAGGTTACAGGGTTCCTGGTGAATGTAATACAATGTATTATTCAAGTCAATGATCAGAGTGAGAAAAAGGATTGGAGTTAGGGTACAGGTTAGGTAACTGTACTGCTATCAGTTTTCATTCAAAGAAGAACGTACTGAATGCTTAGATAAAACCAAATATAAACCAGTAGTTATCATACTGGATAGTTATCACAAGTGAATTGAATGTGGCAGGTTTATAGTGAATCTCTCAGAGGTTACCTTTAACCCTAAACTGCGGTAAGAAGCGGATGACCTCAATAACTAAATGGTTTCACTTCAATGAAAAGCTCAATTCATTAGTCCCCCCTGCTCTCAGTTCATTTGAGTGTGAACTCTGGGTGTTACTCTAGCATCAGGCATACTGTAGATAATGTAGAGCTGGAGTGCGCTGTGTGTGTGTGTGTGTGTGTGTGTGTGTGTGTGTGTGTGTGTGTGTGTGTGTGTGTGTGTGTGTGTGTGTGTGTGTGTGTGTGTGTGTGTGTGTGTGTGTGTGTGTGTGTGTGTGTGTGTGTGTGTGTGTGTGTGTGTACACAAGTTACTGCGTGTGTTGAGGTGATGGAACAGAACTCCTGCGGCAACAAAATCAATTCTAATTAAATGTAAAATTCCTCTGAACAAAATGTGCCATGTCATGTCCAGCAATGTGCAACGGAGATGGTAAGATGTACCAAGACAATGTATCTTTTAGCTTTTAGCAGCTTGCATCAAATGACAATATTAACCAGTGACATACTTACATATGACGAAGCTATGTGCTGGATTTAAGCATAGCAATGTCCAACTGAATACTTTATAGATAGTTGTATTGCTGTATGACAAAAGTCCATCAGACTGCCCTATTTTCAACAGCACGGTAGAAATATATTGTAGCAACCTAGATGTTACAAAACCACCAGCATGTTCTGAAATGTAATGTCAAATCTTGTAAGCTTACAGTAGTTGTGATTGAAAGGACCTCCAGGAAAGGGCAATAATGACAGGGGGGAAATACAATTGAAGCAAGGAAAAAACAAGAATTCAATGTGTATTTTCCTATGTGCAGAACATTGCTCTCCTGAAATGCGTGTTTCTTTGTGTATCGGGGTTGAAAAATGTTCATTTACACAACTGTACATACATTTTCTTGTATCCAGTGCTGTGTGAGTTATCACCAGGTAGTTATTGTGTGGTATATACATTGTTCATACAAACATTGACAATCTTCTGCCTCTGTGAATCACAGTGCCAGGTTATAACATGTTTTCTCCTTTTCTCATGTACTTGATATTCACTTTCATCACAAGAGCCAACACAGGGTCAACCTTTGCTTAATTCGTGTTTTTTAAGATCTTGAATTTCTTCTTGCTTCCAACAGGGATTTGTCATTTGTTAAATAATCTCTCCTTTATGAAAAATGTTGACAGTTGTTGACATGGGGACCACTAATTATGTGCTGGAATAATATTTATATCGATTCACGATATTTCCCTGAATATAGATGGATGACAACATAGTATCTTTTATATTATAATATTTCCTTTTGTCGATTCCTGGAGATCTTTTAAAGAACTTGTTCTTGCGTGTGAAACAAACCTCAGTTAGTGCAGCAAGTGAGATACTGGGTGTTTCTCAATCGCGACTCGCGAGTAAAGCTGCTGCAGAGCCACTATTTCAAGCATACTACGTCATCGAGTGCCGCCGAAGTACTGTTCCAATCTCCAGCATACTTGGAAATCTACTGAGCCCGGCGTACTCCGTTTGGAGAAATATCGAGTGTGCACATGAGTAGACTCCGCGGTCTTAAAATCCCCACAATGCTTTGCGCACGGACCAATTTCCCCAAATCTGTGGCGGAAGATGTAAGGCGGGGCCTCTCATATGACGCACACCTGCACACTTTGCTAGCCTGTTCCACTCTTTGTTTTCCGAATGCCAGGAAGTATTCTTGACTCGCTTCTGAAGCAAGATGCTCGGCAGAGATGTGCTACCAAGCAAGTGTACTCGCGATTGAGAAACACCCACAGTTTGTCAGTAAGAGGCATGAACAGCGTTTTAGTTGAAAACTGGTTACAAAAAGATGTTGGTTTCTTTGAGAATAGTTTACCATATTAAACAGAAATCTTGTTCATAACGCTTTATTCAATCCAGAACAAATGTTGTTTGGCCATTTTGACTTCCACTTCCCAGATAAATCGAGAGAGCACGACCATTCATTACAAACCATGACAACGTGTTAT